TTTTTTTTTTTTTTTTTTTTCGGATGGATTTCAATCGATGGCTAATTGGATTTTATATGGATTGTCAGTTGATTTAAATCAGATTTCATTGGAGTTGAAGTGAAATGATTAAGACTTTAGTTAGATTTCAGTTGATTTTACCGTAGTTCGATGTGAATATCCAATTCGCTCAAAAAATAATGCTCCCTAAATCATTTGTGCCCCGGAGTATTTCATGTCAGTGGGGAGGGGCACGTCTTTGAATGTCAGGGGGGTGCGACTGTTATGAAAGGAAGTAGGTACCTGTAACAGTTGGATCCATTCCTCAGTCATGGCTGGTTTGTCGCTTCCCTAAACCCCGTTCCCACAAATCCGCAGCCGTTAGAGCATAAATTAAAGTTCACCAAACCGCCAACTTTATGCAAAAGACACCATCACACCTAAAACCCATGCTCTCAAGCCTTCGACCAACCAGCTGGCACCGCTCCGGGACGACAGCAAATTTGCATACAGAGATTCAGAATTCAATTTTTGGCACGGTTACTTCCATAGGAGGTTGGCAGGAAACTTAGCCTTCTTGTTTTGTGATTTCAGGGGCGGTAGACCCCAGAACTGTCTGAATCAAAGACGCTACTTGGAGCGATGGCGCCGCGTTCCAAATCGCCATCTGGGAAGGAATCCTGGCTCGCAAATGCTCCAAACCATGTTTTTTTTGATGTTCCCAGTATGCGTACTGTCTTGTCTTGGGTGCCTGATATGCCTGAAATAATTGCGATATAGGCTTGAAATTTAGGGCAAGTCGTCTTCTCTCCGGGGTCCCTATCCTAAGTCGGGAGGAGCGTTGAGGATGTTATGGAGACTCTGCTATAAGACAGAGGCTGTTACTCCCAAACCATGACCCCTGAAGCCCAAGCATTTATTTCATGATTTTTGTGGCAAATGCCAGACAGAGTCCCCAAATAGCCTTCGTTAAAGAAAGGTCCCCTAATGTCTGGAAAGCCCAATGTATCCCTTAACCCTGCGCCACGCGAGGCTCCGGCAGCTAGCAGCAGGGAGCCTGCTCGAAGCCTCAGTCAATTCTCAGGATGAGATCGCAGTCAGACTTAGGCTGGGTTGCTGTTAAGGAACTGAAGTTAAGTTACCAGAATGGGTGTATATATATATATATAGATGGGTAAATACATATATATATATGCATACATAGTAACTCATGTGGTTTCCCCCTTACAGTAATTTGAGTTAGATTTCTGAACAACAACCCAGCAGAACCCTTCTGGCGGTCAAACAGGTATAGGGCTCAGGGTTGAGGAAATAGATGTTTGGAAGGCCAGTAGCCCAGCATTAGTATCACACGCTCAAGTTCCTGCGCCAGGGCTGAGAAGCGAAATGCTTGAAGAAGGCTTCGAAGCACAGAGTCCTTCAGAACTGCCTCCCAAGCATTGTGTGCAGCATGATATCCCTTGTCCCGAGAATGACTACGTTGGCCTGGAGGATTCTCACCTCCGCGAACGGTTCGGTACAAGAGTCGTACGGGTTGTAATAACCTGGAACGCAAAGCCGTGCTTCCTAGTCGTCGCCATGAAGTCTGGCGTGTTTCATGTAAAGGGTCGCCTGAGCAATCCCATCTTTCCCCAAGCAAGGAGCTCGCAGAAAGAATTCTGCTCTTTCATGGACACATCAGCAATAGTCTAAACTGCTAGTGTCCCCCTGAATCACCCCTATAATAGCCCAAATAAAAATCCTTATAAAACCCCCCTTTGAGGAGTTTTAGACTATAGCTCATATAAGGGCGGTACACGGGAGACATTTGGTCAGCCAAGGTCAAGGATGAAGAGGACCTGGAAACCTACAAGCCCCTGGTCTCAACTGGGCAATTCCCAAAATTATGATTTTGGCTTCCGGGTTTAGGGTTGTGGGGTTTGGGGAGGTACCCCTAGATATTAGGTGCCGTAATATAACCAATATACAAGAGGGGCCCATAATTTTGAGAACAACCCAACTGATGCGGTAGCCAAGTGGATATGTTCGTGGAGATTGACCTCAAGTGCTGGCAGGTTTAAGCCTAAGTGTTGGCCAGCCTCTGCTTTAGTGGACCTCTCAGGAGCCCAACACTAAACCCACAAAGCCCAAAGCCTACACCTGAAATGCTACGCCATCAAGTTTTCACTGCAAAAGATATGTTTTTCGCAATCCCAAGGCCGCACCACTAGCTCCATGTGCAGTGGGACGGGTATGGGTGTGAATCACAATGTTTACTGTTTAGAATCCTTGTCCTGGTTGGCAACCACTGCACAGCCGCAATCCTAGACCCATACTCTTTAGACACCCTATATGGACAAGATGGGCTTAGCTTGTGTTTGATACCTTACGCTTTCCCTTCACCATGTCATCATGTGGGAGGGTCTCAAGCTTCTGGCCCTGCTTCCGTATCCCAAACTTAGGAGTGGGCCATAGGGTCGCCATGATAGTAAACGACAGCAGCGCCGGTCATCCAGAATGACAACAGGTCGTGGTCATGGTTTCCAGAACCGCGCTAGCCGCCAGCCCTCAACCCCTGAACCCTGAACTTGACACCCTAACCGCTGAGCCTTACACCCTTCATTCGATATATCTTGAATTCGAAGCTTACGAGGCCCCGTAGATTTTGCACCTCCGCATGCCAAGCGTCACCAAACTCAAGCCTGACCGCTGACCAGGAAGCGTAAGATCGCGGACTTGGAGAATTTAGGCCGGAGCGGCGGCGCAGCTTCTTCGCAAGTAAGTAGGTTTAATGGTCTTAAAGCCATGCAATGATCGAGGGGGATAGAGCCAGGAGGGATTTGGGACTCGGGCTTGCGATGTTTCGTGGGGGATGAATTTGCTCAAATCATGCTCACACACGGTCGCTTAGGTAGAAGCCTGCATTCCGGGAATATTCATATGGCAATAGGAGCCTGAGAGCGCACCAGAGTCTAGAATCTTGTGGACGTCCTACACAAGCCGAAGCAGAACGTAAATGCTGTTCCTGCTTGTTTCATGATTTCTCCTAAGTCTTGCCACGTACTATAGAAATGAATGCCAGCTGCTATTCATAAGCTTGCTAGGTGCCCCTTAAAAGAGACTGTTAGCGGCATTGGGGGGCGTATTAGGGGATGTAGTCCCTATCAACCTTACTGGCTATGGGAGCTAAGATCTTAACTCGCGACGTGGATGCTGAAGTTCGCACAATCGGCAGACTGGAGAACTAGCCGAACTAGCTTGGTGGCACCACATTGGTTCACTCGCAGATAGGGAATTTCAGAAGAAGACTTCCATTTCTCCGAGGTGCTGTGAATAATGCAGCTGCAGGCAGGGGTTTTAGGACGATCACTGAGTTTGGTTGACAAAGGCTTAACATGACAAGTTAGGATGAAATGCCATTGCTTTCCAGCGAGCAAACTCGCCGCTGAGGTATACGTTCCTCCCTTCAAGCTTCTTGGCAAGATTCGGTAGTTTCCCCAACTAAGGGAACCCCAATATAGACCCTAAAATACTACCCCTAATTTTAGGAAACCCTCATTCATGTTTGTCAGCAAGGTTAAGGTTTTCTTTCTTGGCTTTACGGGTGAGGCTCATGCACCAGGAGTGATTCATTGCGAGCTTAGGGATCTTGAGCGGATGCATAGACCCAGCACCCTCTGGCTGAACGTCAAAGCCCCTTCGGCCCAAACCCAACAGCATAAACTCCACATCTTGAACTCTAAAGCCCAAACCCCGCAATCTTAAACTCTGAGCCCTAAGCAGCCTATGCATTTCCCAGACATCCAAGGTTGGCACGCATGCAGAAGGAGATAGAGGACCACAGCACCCAACAAGGTATCAACAAAGCCATCCGTTGTTTCTCTTGGGGTGCTGATATTTTAAGGGTCCCAAACCTTGAGGCCTAATCTCGAAACCTTAATCCCTAGATCCTAATCCCTAAACCCTACCTGAATGGAAAGGTGGGTCCCGTTTTACGTGAGGCAATACCATCACAAGAAGCTCGACCCCGCTCATGCCTGTGACTTGCCAACAACTGGGTTGCTGTTAAGGAACCCAATATGAGCTATAGCCTAGACTCCTTGAAGGGGGTGTAAAGGGGTTTATATTGGGGCGAGTAAGGAGGATATTAGGAGTTGAGATTATAGCTCATATATGGGGTATAAGTAAGTGCTGAGGTTTCCTTGTTTTAGTACCCTTAATCCTAAACCCCAACTTGAGTTTCTTAACAGCAACTCAGACAAGTGGAGCCTGCTACCTAACTCCGTTGCAGGTCGCGTGTGGCCGGGCAGGGAACAGGTCTTCCTTTCGGTCCTTACGCTTCCAACGGTATTGAGAGTACTCCTTTGTAGTTAACATCTACTTGAAAGTGAATATGCCCCCGTATGTCCCGCCACTCTTGAGCTCGGTCATGCTTGAAACTTGCTCTGGCAACCCAAGTTTGTTCAACCCTTTCGCTCAGAAGTCCCAAACCTTGCGCCCACACGCCACTCCTGCCCAAAGTCATGGGTTTAGGGTTTAGGGTGGGAAGGCCCCCAAAATTGCCTTCCTTCTTTCCGCTTCGGTTCATAGACCCTGAGAGAAGAAACCCACAGGTTGGCAAGGTGTACTCATTCTTTCTGATGCTTGAGTACTGGTGTCACAAAAAAAGATACACCTGCCATATATGGAAAGAAACATGGTAGGGACTGACTTCTTAGTACCAGCAAGCATTGGGAAGATTATTTTTCCGGGCGGAAGTGGGGAACAAGGGAATATAGGGGTGTATATTCCCTTGTTCGCTACTAATCACCAGTAAGTTATGGGAAGCCATAGTCGATCCAACTCTTCTTGTCCCAGGGCTGCATTGTTTGAGAGGACAAGACGAGTCCGGAATACCAGCGGCAAACTTGGGAGGCAGGACGCATTTTTTTTAGGGCTTTCCTGTGGTGATCCCAATCTGGTACAGGTGTTGACCATAGTGCTCCTCATCATTCAAAAACCTGCAAATGGAGGGCTAGACTCTGAACCCTAAATCGCTTGAGTTCAAATGTTTGGGTTCTTGCCGTCTTAGCAAGGGATGATCTTCCGTTGTTCCCTACCAATCCCTAGTAAGGTGGTCTACTGACTACTGGTTTGGGGTGTAAAGCTTTAGGGAGGAGCATAGTTGGAGGGCCAGGCGCATGGAATGAAGTGTTTGGTGCTTTGGCGCTATAATTACGGGGGGAGATTCTTCAAGCTTGGCCTGAGGTTTGAGGGTGTAGGGTTCAGGGTTTAGGGTTCATGGTGTAGTGTTTAGGGTGTTTACAGGCTGTCATAGGATTGCAGAAGAAGATGACCCCTGTCCTAGTATACCCAGCCTGCCTTTGTACTCGTAGTGATTTGAGTTTCCACCGTATAGAGCAGTCAATCTTCCTGCCCCTTAAATCTGAACCCCACGAGCCCGAGCTCAGTGCACCAACCTGTGCATGGTAGCCTTGAGACCCTGAAGGCCTTGAGGAAGAGTATCAACGGTCTCGTGAACAAAGTCAATGCCACTGGCCTGCACTTTCGGTTTGATTGCCACAAGGTTTGGAGTCAGCTGGTGCTGTACGGAAAGTTTTCGTATCATTCGTGAGGCGTGAAGCTGGCATGTGAAGATGTCACGTCAACGAAGTTTCAGGCATTCGCGCGCATGCGGGCCGTTCAGCTTTTTTGAAGGGAAACAAGATTTCGTGTGGCACCTCGTATCTGGCAGAACGTGAATGCAACCCAAATTTGGGGAAACTGTTCATATGGACGGCTCAGTTTACGGGATGCACCGCCGGCGGGGCAATTGGTTTTTGGTGGCCTGGCCTTTGACCCACGACATATTTGTCATAGACCTCCCCACCAAAGTTGCGTTGCCCTAGCACAAAGTGAGGATCAGGAGTCGTTGGCAGTCCATGCCGGTTTAGGGCTAGGAGTTCTAAAGACAAGTTCGGATCCAATCCTTGCACCAGCTCATGCTGGCGAGTTCTGTTACGTCTCAGGTGGGCAATATCAAGAACATCGTGGAGGCTTGGCAACTGGTTGGTATTTGAGCCTCCGGTCTTGTATACTAAGCTTCAAGATTTGTGTCATAAGTATGCAGGTTTTTTCATGTGTGCATTCGTTGGGTCCTACAACCTTACTCGGTGCCATGGTTTATTTATATATCAAGAAGCAGCGAGTTGCAGAGATTGCGCTTCTTCTGCCCTTTCCTGACATCTTTCAAAATGTCTTGCAACAAGGAGCCTGGCTCCACAGTGGGATTCCTGATCCAATATCAGGTTTTCTCGGGGCCTGTATTCGATTTCCATGCACCAACACCCTCCAACTCTGCTTGGCTGCATCACATCCAAGTGAGCGACTACTTGCGTTCCGCTGTGTTTGGCAAATTTAGGCTGCGGCTCATTGATAGATTTCAAACCTCGAGCTGAACACCAGAAGAACTCCAAAGCTTGGCAGGAGCTTTTTCAGGAGAACTTGGTCCGTGGTCGTGGACTGCTAGTGCGTATCCGCCTGAGCACGAAAGCTCTCGAGTCCAGTGTGATGGGGTTCAGGGCTTTAGGCTTCTGCGTGCTGTGGCTTCAGGGTTGAATCTATGATTGGCCACTAAACCCTACACCCTAAAGCCTTAAAACCTAAACCACAAACCCTGGGCTTTGGGAGGGCCAGATGTCAAAGGCCAGGGATTCTTAGGGATTCTTAAGGTTCAGGTCTTTGCTCAAACAAGGACCGCGCGCGGAAAACTTGAGGCTGCTTTGGGATAGTTGGGACCCTGCAAGTCCTTGCCAAGGCATCTCCCACTCCCAAGTGCATTCTTCATGAACACCAGACTTTAATTCCTCAATCTCTATGTCCCAAACTTATACAACATTGCTACATCCACAATTCCTCCTTAAACCCAGAAAATCTAAGACACCTGTTCCTTCGACCTAAACCATCCTAAGTGCGGTATTCCTTGCCCCCCCCCCCTCTCCCTGTAATGAGTTTCCTCTGCCCAAGGCGCTCTGATACGAGCGCAGATGGCATCTCCTGGTTTCACCCACGCCGCTGGACAGCGTGACATCCTTTCGGAATTTGGGGGCTTCTCAGAATTAGGGGTACCTTTTTTGGGGGGTTGCCATAATAAAGCATGATTATGGCACGTTGGGGCCTAAACCCTACATAAACCCTAAACTCACACCGCTCCAATCTTCAGTTTCCAAGCGGCTGGTTGCTGGTCATTGGTTGGTTGCAGTGTTGCTCAGCATTTTAAATGTCTTGTGTCGGCTTTGTTGTGCGGCGGGACGGCCTCCAAACAAAGTCACATCTCATCAAATGGTTTAATTTTTGTTCTTCTATGAACTACCTTGAAAACTCAAATCGGGTACTGGCAGTACCTTGCATTTGCTGATGTTTGTTGAGACGGCGTGCGGTGCGGGGCGGGAGGGCTTCCGCGCTGTGAGCAGCAAGACCCTTTGGGCGACTCATGTCCATCTATTCCTCAGCGGCCCGAAACCCTAAACCCCAAACCCTTAGATCCTGCACCCTAAACCCCTAGACTTACCCTTCTGCACCTCCTCCACGTGACATGGTCTGTGGCCATCTTGTGTCATGGGAATGCCACTGGCAGAGAGTACTTCCTTGAATCAATTCTTCCGACAGCGACAGCACTGTTCAGAGCGGAGAGACAAGAAAGGGCAATTCTTGGCTGCATGGGGTTTGTCGTCTAGGCTTCGGGGGTTCAGGGTTTAGTGTGGGTAACAGCCATACATGCAGCGCAAACGCAACAATCACGCTCGTGGCTTCTTCTCAGGTGTTTGCCGCACTTCTCGCGGTGATCAACTCGAAGCTGTTGGAACTCCCAGCTTTAGATCAGGGATGTACATTTTTGACATAGGAGGCCCCTCTAGGGTTACATACGGGGAATTGTAGAGATCTAAAGGATGAGACAGGGTTATAGAGGCTTATGTACTTGTATGTAGGATTGAGGGTTTAAAGTTGAGGAAGCAGTCCTGAGGGTGTGCTGCAGCAGGGTAATCTTTTAGTTTTGAAGTTGAGTGTTACAAGCTTCCCAGATATTGGCCGCAAATGTTGAATTCAGCCAAACAGTTTAAATCCCCCCTATAGGGACCTGAGCCTGCTGGTGTTTGCTTTCGTCTGGCGCGGTCACTCAATGTGGGGCTGAAAAAACTGAGATCCTGTTTTGAATGTTCAGGAGCTCTTAGCAATTATCATCAGCATTTCAGTATTTTGCGGGGGGTGACCCAGTTGCAGAGTGGCCTACCCAAACGCCTGGGCGGGTCCAGAAAGCAGAACCCCCTTATGTGTTACCTTATACTTTTGGTAGTTTCGAGGAACCCATGAGGGGGGTCTACTTTCCAGATCCACCCTGGGCTCTGGGTATTTGCTTCAAGCCTGCCATCGAGGCTCCTATGTACACCTAGAGGCCCCTGCTTCCCGGGTATTCTCATTTGCCTCAGCCAGCAACTTGCCAGCTTGGGAAACATGTCCCTTCTCCCATGCACTCAACAACCACAGTTTTGCGCAACCCCATTCCCACTGTATGGATTGCTGGCGCCTGATTGCTCCCAGCCAGTTCTACAGGGTACTACGCTCGTTGGCAATAAGTTCAGTAAATGTTCGGCACTTTAACCTCAGTTACCCTCCTGGTCCCCACCCCAAACTGGGTAGCTGTTCAGGAACTTAAGTTGATTAAGTTACTACAGTAAGGAAAGCCATTATTACTGTTTGTCATATATCCGTGTTGTGGTGGCTTAATATAGGTTGCTCAACCGCAAAAACCGCAAAAGAAGATTTACAACATCCGAGGCCTGAAGTGGGAGATCTTCTGATCCGGCGAGTGATTCTGCAGTTTAGACGTGCCTATAAAAGGCCGGGTTCAGGGTCATTCATCCATTTCCCCTAAGGGTTCAAGTACCTAATGATCATATACTTCTCCCCCAAACCTGTACCACAAGTTCTATTACCCAAATCCCAAGCAGCTAGATATTGGGTACTTGGACATTTAGGGTTTCTGAACTTATTACGGCGTTTCGGGTTGAGCCTCTGCTCGATTCTAGAAGTCTTGGTTGGCACGCGGGCATAGGTGTACGGGGTCTACTTGCACCACTTAGGGAGCTAGAGGCGCTTGCTAGGTCCATTGGTCATGGGTTCAACTAGTACCCCCCTTTATACTACCCCCCTAGGTTCCCCCCTTAATTAAGGTTATTTAGGGATAGTTAAGCCTAATTAAGGTTAATTAAGGGGGGAACTAGTTGAACCCATGAATTGGCTTCAGAGATGTTACTTACGTACGGGGCTTGGTTTACAGTTTGCTTGCTGCTCCAGTAGTTGTCCGGGCGCGTGGATAGAAATAGCCTTGTGGTCAAACGTTTGGGCCATGGTGTATATAGAGCCATGTTGGTGATAAGGGAGTTGCCGCATGGAAGTCTGAAGCTTTGCTGTTGTGCTGTGTCTGCCGTGTTGCTGGAGTCTGGAGGTTCATTCAGATTCTACAATGTTCGAATCTTCAAGGAATATGAACGGAAGTTGGGAGTTTGGCTTCAAGATCCCCCTAAACCCTGAAGCTTTGACCCTAAATCCCAAACCCTAAGCCCCAAACCCTAAGCCTCAAATTAAACCTTAAACCCTAAACCCTAAAACCCAACACCAACTCAAGCTTGCTTCCCCTCGGCGGCCAGGAACGACAAAATTGTCACGACGGCTGCCATCCGCTTTATGGCTCACTTAGTGAATCAGAAGGCGCCGCTGCTGTCTTTACCGTTCTCATTGCCATATCCTGGAAAGATTCAGACTTGCCCATATTACTTTATGGGTGGAGATCTATTCAGGAGAAGTTTGGGGACCTTCAAAGTACTACCCAGATAATGACGGGGTTTCCCGAATTTCGAGGTTCCTTTGTCGGAGTCCTTCTCATAAGGATCATACCAGATAAAAGTCCATGTATTGGCTACACACTGAACCCTCGTGAACCCTAACCCCTAAACCCCCCTCTTTCCACAAACCCAATTCTTTGCGCAGATTGCTTCGGAGCTGTTGGCGCTCCACGTGGCAACGCTGCTGTTAGCTGCGGGCCCAGAGTCCTTCTTTAGGGTCTAGGGTTTAGGGACTTACCCTATGGGTCCGGGTACCCAATATTTTGGTACTTGGGATTGGGGAAGTATAGAATTGTTAGTTACTTGGATTGGACCCTTAGGGTAGATTCAGAATTTGGGGAACCTTCGGCTGTAGAGAATGCTGTGTTGAGCCTTGGAGGATGCCATGTAGAGATACTGGAACGCCATATTCCAGGACCCTCCTTGTACCCTTAAATAGGGGTATATTGTCCCTAATTCAGGGTGGATAGGGGGTAGATGGAGGGTCTAGGTTGTAAGGCTCGCGGCATTTTGGGGGGCTTGCGTCTGCACCCATAAGCTCATCCCTTGCATTCCTTGAGACCCCGAAGCCTTAACACTGTCTCCAAGATCATAATATAGTAATAAGACTAATAGCAGTAATATTAGTGATAATGGTAAAAGTAGTAATCTGCCTTGTTATTATGAGTATGATTATTAGTATCATTCCTAGTATTACTATTGGTATTACTATCAGTATTACTATCATTGTTACTATTATCCAATCCAGGAGCGTGTCACGGAAGACTCCATCGAAGTCTGCGTCAGCTTTTTGCAGGCGCCAGCCGGGGAAGACGGTTAAGGGTTTAGGGTTTAGGGTGAGTGATTAGATTGGTTCATGCCATGCGGGAGTTTCTCGCGACACCTAGAATATGAGCTAGAGTCTAAACTCCTTAAAGGGGGTTATACAGAGATTATATAGGGGACTAGTACGGACTATACGGGTAATTAAGGGGGATACTTGGAGTTTAGACTCTTTAGACTATAGCTCATACTATGAATCTTGAAGTGCCGATATACGCTCGTACCCACTTTCGTGCGTCTGGTAGCATGTGTACATATGTGTGCACCTATATACGATCCCAATGATAAGTCCCTACATCTCCTTATAACCAGCCCCAACGATGGCCCAAAGCCCCTCAAACGGAACCATAATACTATTGTTCTGCATACCCTGGAAGGGCTCAGGCATGTTTAGGGTTGTTTCAGGTTACATACATGGTCACCTAGGTCTTTCCAGGCCCGGAGATGCACGAGCGAGAGTACTGGGGACTTAGACATGGGGCACGAGGCCTAGTGCATGCCTGAATGCTCCAGGCTCCAGCCCCTGGGGCCGTGGAGACCTGAACACTGAATTCCTAGTTGCTTTCTCGGGGTTAGTAGGGAATGAAGGAATGTACTATATAGAGAATATATAGGCATTATATTCCCTTATTCTCTACTAACCGGTAAGGTTGGTAATCAGCAGGGAAAGGAAGTACGAGAGGGAACTCCACAGTCCGGAGTAGCTGGTTAGGAACGGTGAAGTACAAAATATCCTGTACCTAGACCTTTCATCTACCCTCTATATACCTTAGGTTAGGGACCATATACCCCTATTTAAGGGCACAAGGAGGGTCCCGGTAGTCAGTTCGCACAGCAGACACATGGCAAACCCCAAGCTTTGCACAAAGCTGCGCATGTACAGTCCTGGACCTTCTGCTGCCTGGGATATAAGTACCTATTGGGGTAGTATGGGGGTTATGTTGGGGTTATAGGAGATAATGGAACAGAAAATGGAAACTGTTATAATGAGTTATGAAGGGTGTAGGGTTTAGGGTTAAGGGTGTTTGGATACCAAGCCTTGTCATGTATCAGGAAGTTGGACAAGCACTGGAAGAGCTGTCCAAGGCCCGCAGCATCAGGAATTTAGGAATTCGGGCTTGCATAGGACTCGGGGGTTTAGGGGTGTTTGGTTTTCGGCGCTCGAGGGTCGTGTTTAGGGCGGGCTATGGAAGAGCGAGCAATGCCTTCGGAATGGGTAGACGGTCGGAGCTTGTTGAATGCGCAAGATTTTGTGCTAGCCATTACTTTGACCTGCTTCCCCCAGCCAAACCTTCTGGGACCGCATCCCCGAAAGGATTGAGGCAAGATGATATTCTCATGCTGAACACATCCTGCCCCCTTACGAGACATGTAGCATTCAGGTTAGGGAAATGATGTTCCTCTCGAGGAGAGGAGCTGTATCAGATGCAGCGATGACAGCTTGCTTTTTCTTGAGACAACCCCAGCTATCCTGCTCTCTGTATGCCGACCAAGGCATTCGCATCTTTTGCGGTTTTGTCCCTCCAATGCTCCATACCCTTTTCCTTACATTGCATCTCGCGAGGTAGCAAATTTGAACAGAAAGGCCGCAAGGCTAGTACGTTACATTGCGTTGCTACTGCTTTGGATGAGTATGGTAGTTTCTCAAAGTTACGGTTACGCAAAAACTGACCCTAAGATACTACAGCCCTTAGTAATTATAGGGATCCCCAACAAGGTACCCCTAAGTTTGGGAACCCCCCATGTCATGTGGGCTTCTGTTATGCTGAAGCCGCTGTAGCCTGGGTCTGCACATGCCCTAAGGGTCCAAGTACTCAATATTTACTGTAGGTACTTGGGATTCGGGTAATAGTGAAAATACAACAGGTTTTGGGGAAGTGTGTGATTATCAGGTACTTGGCCCCTTAGGGATGCAGCTCTTTTGGCTTCTGCAGACCTGAAAAAGAAGCCATTTGTTTGGAAGCTAGTTGCAAGGTAAGCGGATAACACTGCAGAGATTACGAATGAATTCTTACGACATGTCTAGTGATCCCTTTAGACCACCTGAACCTCAACCCTGAAATGCACAGATCGTAGCAGATCGAAGCCATACATTTGCCCAAGTCTTCGATAACGCCACGAACAGCATCCCAAAGCAAATTTGCTCGAAAGGCTGGATGCCAGGCTATCTTCGAACGGTCGTGTCCCAAGCTTTTTCTCAGGAAGCAGCGAGTAAAGGGCCGGCAAGGATGTGGGAGCCATTGAGAAGCGGTTTTGACTGCCCCCCTAAACCCTAAACCCTCAAGGCTTTGCCTTATTGTGGTAACCAGTCAAGGTAAAGTTCTTTGGCTTCTCAGAGTCTCAAGCCTAAGCCCGTTCTGGTTTAGGATTTAGCGTGAGCCTTCAGAGCATCTAGGTTAGTCTGAAGGGTCTAGGGTTTGGGGTTTGCGGTTAGGACATGTTGCATGTTCAAGGCGCTTGGATTCTGTTGAGAAATCATGGGCGGAAAGCCCGTGGGAAGATCGTCGACGTGTTCCTGAAACACACACCTAAACCCTAAACAATAACAAGTATTATGTACCACAGAACATCGGTTTGAGTTCCCTCCCCACCGAAGATTCAGGACTTCAGAGTCGGACTATACCCTCAAGGGATCTACAAATCCATGAGGGCTCTATTGCAGTCGTTCTATGGGCTGCAAAAAATGATTGAATTCTCTCATTCCTTGCGAGGAGACAGTGCCTTAGATGTCAGGTGTTGTGGTTGAATGTAGGGGGGCTACTCTGACAACACAACCCTCAACCCTAAACCCTTTAGCCCTAGGTGCTTATAGGCGCTATAAGGACGTGGGCTTCGAGGTGCCAAGCTAGGATGTTGCCGCCGGGGGCTTCCTCCTGACATCTGCGATGTAAGGGTCCTCAAGTTTAGAACAAGGCTCGTTGAAAAATCATCGCCGGGTGTCTTTGGTACGGGTTTGAGGTTTCAAATAACTCCAGCTTCCATTGCCTTGTCCTTTGGACTCAGCTTTTCCATCTCAAAGGTTCCGTACCATCCTCCATGAAGGCGAAATCGACAAGCGCGGAACCCCAGCGTAGGGCTCGGGTTTAGGCAGTCACTTGAGGGAATCAAGGAATGAACACCCCGAAACCCTAAACCCTGAACCCTAAATTCCTCACAAAAACGTTTATTAGAACTTCGCATTCCAATTCGTCTCCGTATAGTACAAGGCCTTCATGGTGTAGAGTGAAGAGATGAAGCTAGACAATTTTAGGGGTTTAGGGGCTCGCAGCTTCATGCCCCAACAGCCTTGGACTGGTTGAGATGTGTACTGATTGAGTGTCTCCACCGCCTCAACAGCCATTGAAAGAGATGTTGGGGAAGCACCAAAAAGAAAGACTTCTGAAGCAAGTCCTGCAGCAACTATCCTGTGGATATTAATGCTTCTTGTTGCTGTTCTTCATGTCAGGGATTTATCCCTACCCAGTCAACTCCTGACCCCTTCACCTGTTCCTGAAACTTACTGGGGCTTACTAGGGTATAGGTGAATATACTATATGGGGATTGAGGAGGGATCAGATTCCTCTATTCCGCACTACACCCCAGTAAGGAAATTAGACGCAAAATCCCGCAGAACCCCTGTACCACTTCTGAAGATGGAAGCAGCAGCTGATCTCAAGCTGGGAAGAGCTTCTCAACCCAAGTATGCATACCTCCTTTTGAGGAAAAGGCTGTAAGCTCGTATCCCAAACCCAGATACCTCCAAACTCTCAAGCACTATAGTCCCTGAGACCTAAGATTTTGGAACCCTGCACCCTAAACCCTATAAAGTCTAATCTCAGAGAGGCGGGTGCAGTACGTCATCGAGGGCCTCTACGAAACGCGTCGGAAAAAGTTCTCAGATCATCCTATGGTTTCCCGGCCGCATGGGAGCTACTAGTCTCCCCGTTATGTATACATTACATCAACATCTATCTATATCTCTATATATATATATATGGGTTTAGGGTTTAGGGTATGCATATACATATATATACATATATATATATATGTGTATACATTTTTATGCCTGCAATCAAAACTTGCTATAATACTAGCTAGGGCAATGTAGGGTTTGGGTGGTAGACCATATCAAAACACAGGAAATGTGCTGTCGATTGCTGATGTTCAGGCCTGCGTTGAGAGGGTTGTGGAGTTGATGGCTTCATGGATCAGCCATGAGAGAAGGAGCCTCATGCAGATGATGGCCCATTTAAGATTTTCTTGTGAACTTCATGTGAGCTATAGTCGATAGTCTAAATTCCTTCAATGGGGTTATATAGGGGATTGTGAAGTGGAGTATTAGGGGATACTAGGAGCTTAGACTATAGCTCAATGTCGTGTTTTTGGTAGACCGCAGCTGAACGGATGAATAAAATTGGTGCGGAACAGAGCAAACCTTTTGCCAAACTGGGAACCGGAATTGATCCCCACCCATGGAAAGTCAGTTGAAAGGACCGGAGACCCCCCCAAACAAGTTTGCCGAAATTTGATTGGGGATTCCCGTACAAGTTCATTCCTTTACTTATTGGGGGAAGGGGGGGTTATGAATCAGAACCCGTCTCTAAGAGCTAATAAACCTTGAATCCGAAGCCCCCGGCGCCTGCTTGAAAGAAGCCTTTGACTGCAGCACTGCGTTCAACAGACAAGTGGTTCTAACAAACGCAAACACCATAAACAAATGAAGCTCCTTAGTAAGCTATAGTCCAAACTCCTTCAAGGGGATTGCTAGGAGATGAGATAGGGGAGTGTTATGGGTTTACTAGGAGTTTAGACTATAGCTCAAATCTCAATGTGCAAAATCCCAAACCCTAAATCCTGAACCCTAAATCCCAAACCCCTAAACCCTTAAACCCTAAATCCTTGAGGTACTGGAGGAGCTAGACCTGGTCGAGGATGAAGACCAGATCACCCATGAGGCCTTGCACGCGGGTAATCCTTTAGGGCCCAGGAGCTTTGAAAGCTGGTTTATGGGATTTACAGGGTTGTTAAATGTTGCTACAGCTTGAGGCCTAAACCCTAAACCCTAAGCCCTAAACCTTCATCCCTCCAAGGTTCGCATGGGTTGTACCCATTTGCTGCCCATGTTTTCGTGGGCATGTGGAGAAAATTCCAATACGACCATAAATGGACTGCACAGCGTATTTGCGGCATTAGAGGAAGGGCTGCTTATAAGGTAAAAGGATTGTTTATCGGATTCATGGTCACGTTTCGGTTTCGGGGTTCAGGGCTTTGAGCTTCTGTACTTGGCTTCTTCAGGCTTGATCTAGGCTGGGGCCTGGAGTTTGGGTAATGCTAAACTCCCTAAACCCCCCCCCAAACCCTAAACCCAGAAGAATTCAACTTGGGGCTTGCAGCTTGAAGGTTTAACTGGTCAGTGTTTGTTGTTTTGGAGCTCAGGGGTTTTGGTGCATGTACAACGGCTTCTTAGAAAGCTTGGAACTAAGAAAATGCGAGTGACGTTCGTTGGAGTATTTGCGGTCCACATCATGAGCGCATGTTTTCTTACAAAAATCACAAAACGTGATTGACATTCAGGGGCCGGCAGCTACCTGACAATCATACTCAACGCACACAACCTTTAGCATCCTTCACACTGAAACCTTAACTTCAAAGAGCCGCCCACGAAACGCTAGCCCCAATAACGCGAAGTCTGCACCAGAGCCCATGTGGTAGTTTCCCAAAATAGGGGGACCCCTATATAGACACTAATACGTTATACTCTTATATTATAGGGACCCCCCCAAAGAGCTACCGTTACATTTTTGGGGAGCCTCAAACCCTAAACCCTAAATAGTAGTTTCCATTTTATCGTTTCCATTATCCCAATTATCCCCTAAATAATCCCCGTATACCGTTCAAAGCTACCCCTCATTCTGGGAAACCCTAAGCCCTGAACCCCTAAACCCTAAGCCCCTACACCGGCTATTTTTTGGGAGATCTCCATGTCCTCAAGAAGCCTGCAGAGAGGTGGATCTCCTGGATGAGACCATCAAGGGTGAAGAGACCCTGAACATCTTCAAGGCGCCGGAGATGGGGGGAGATATACTTTAGGGTTTAGGATTCTAGGGTTTAGGGGTTTAGAGTTTGGGGGTTTAGGGTTTAGGGGGTTAGGGTTTAGGGGTTTAGGGTTTAGGTACACACGGGTGCTCAAAATCGAAGTTCCGTGTCGCTGCCCATTCTTAGGTTGTCGGTCGAACATCTCACATCGATACTATGCCTGGCAGCTTTGTGGCCGCATAGATAAATCAATAGGGCATGGCTAGAAGCAGGAATAAGTCTGCTCGAGCCACTTTAGCATAGCCACTATTGCAATGCAAGCTTCAGGAGCGCCTGTATCTGCTCTTCCTGCCTGCAACATGAGGGCTCAGCGTTGTTAGAGGTGTGAGGCATATTACAGTACTGACTTCAAGAACAAGTTTGGTACAGACTGCATGAAGCCTGAAGAATGAGCAGCCCCTGAAATGGTAATTTCAGGCTTCAGGCCGGAGCCCTCCTCGGCCGTAGAAACCCCAGGAGCAGGAGAAAGAGCAGTTGACAAAGCGCCTTTAAACTCCAGAGCTCAAGCCAAACAAAGTCCAAACACGTAAAACACCAAACTCCAAAGCCTCAAGTCCTCGACCCCAAACCCTAATTGGGCTGTTCTCAAAATTTATGGGCCCCTTTGGTTATAGGTTATATTACGACACCTAAGATTTAGGGATACCAAATTGGGACCGTGATTCGGAGAACTACCCAAATCTCTGACCTTTGACATCTCAGGCCCGAAGCCCTGAACTGCACTGAATACGTCTGCTAGGCCATTCCGCCCGAGCAGTATGCCGCGGACGAGGCGCAGATCAATCCAAAGCTGATGAGCTGCGGCTTAACTTGAGCTATAGTCTAAACTCCTTAAAGGGTTACATAGGGGTTGATACAGGCAAGTATTATAGGGGTTACTAAGGGGGATACTGGGAGTTTAGACTATGGCTCACTTTGTGTTTTATGGCCTGCTTAAAGCAGCGCTTCTGCAATTCCTTCGTATGTCTTCGTGGAAGTCCCCGAGATCCACTATCTCCTCAAGTTGCCCTAAACCCAAAACACCCAAAACCGAGTGCATGGAGAGGCCAAGTGGAAGCTCATCTCCAGCGAGATTCTGGGCTTGGAGCAGGCGTTGTGTCTCAGGGTCCTGAACCCTAAAGCGTGAACTTATGAGCTGTAGTCTCAACTCCTTAAAGGGGTTGAAAAAGGAAGTCCTTTAGGGGTTATTAAGGGGGATATTCGGAGTTTAGATTCTAGATCTGATGCATTCGTGGAGGTTTCGGGTTCATCAATCCCACGAGGCTGTCCTGACTTCAGCTGCTCAGTCAGGAAGGAAAGAAAGGAATCCTCACACCGACTCCTTCTAACTCGAGCCTCGAGACTCTAAACCATGTGAGCTGTAGTCTAGACCCGCTTAAAGGAGGCTACAGTATAGGGAATGATATAGGGAGTATTATAGGGATTATTAAGGGGGATACGAGGAGTTCAGATCATGGCTCGTGTACTACATCTCTCACATCAGGTGTTATTGCCTAGAGCCCTCCTGCCGATCCAGGATCCTTGCCTTCCGTTTTTAATGAGTACTGCAGAGTCCAGGTTGAGGCTTCAGGCTATCTTGGGCGAGACTCAGCTTTTGCGTTATGATAGCAGACAGGGCTTTGCAGAGGTCAGAGTTCATGTGCATGATTGGCCACATACTGCAGGGAAGAAGCCCTGCAATGCTCCCAAGCCATGCCAGAAGTTCGTTCTTGGCTGACGGATGGGTTGCCGTTTGTTGAGTCAGACATGACACCATTCAAAAAGCAGTGCTCCTTGTGTCGGGCTCTTTGCTGCTGTCCCCCAGGCACTGCCATAAAGACGACCGTGCTTTGTAATATTTCTATTAGGGTTACGATGGGGCTATATGGGGCTAATGGAAAGGAAAATGGAGACTATTATAATGGGTTACATATTGGGGTGTATATGGGGTATGCCTGCATATCCCCCTAAATTAAGTCCCTTCAATCCCTAGATTCCCCCAGTTTCCATTTCATTGTCCATGTTCATTACCATTTAATTCTCCATTCTAGGGATAATATAGTACCCTAAGCCCTACACCCTAAATCCTAAACCCTATATTATTGGGGGATAATATACCCCGTGCCTGCATATCTCTCCCCTCTCCAGGATGAGGGCAGCGATAGCAGCGACGACTCCGATGAGGAGGCGGACGCCGCTGCAGATCGCCGTGCCCAGGTGCGGGGTGCGGTAAATTTGGGGTTTAGGGTTTAGGGCGTTTCTTATATTACCCTAAGGGTCCAAGGACACAAATATTAGGGTTCTAGGCATTCAGACTAATTAGAGTATTTCAGTCCTAGAACCCAATTATTTGAGTACTTGGACCCTTAGGGTCTTAGCAGTCGCAAAATCCTTCAAGTCCTGTAAGGTTCCCATATATCCCCTCAGGGTCCCCTTTTTGAGAATCCCCGAGAAGACGCTCCCCACCCCCACCCGGTATTCCGCAAAGATTCCTTATATAGTACCATCATACATCATGTGGGGGCTTGTCATTAGAGGGGAGCGCTCTGGGGTGTCCAGAGGCAGGATAACTGGGCTTAGGTATTAAGGACTCAGGTAGTGTTTAGAGAGCTATATGATAGCCTTTGCCCCACCTACCTTCATATCACATCTTCAGGCCCCCCGAAACCCGAACTATAGAAGGCTGTCATTGGGGCTTCCTGAAAGTTGGGGGTCCTTGTTGGGAGTAAGGCTTAGGATATTTGGGGCCCATTCTTCCTGAGACACTCATATGAGCCACTGTGTCCATATTACTCTCATTAAGGCAGCCTTAGCAGTGTACATAGGGGGCCCTCTTGTAGTTTAGTATAGTCCCTAATATAGTCCTTAATTAAGAAGGAACAGGAAATATTGGCTGTAGCTCATATGAGGGTGAGGGTCCAGAGTTTTTGGGATTGATTAGCTTGCTGTTAAAGGGCTTATTGTAGATCTTGGGGTCGTGGGACGTATGGTGTTACGTCACACTTCCTGAACTTGCTTTCACATGTTGTTTGCATGTGCAGCTTTAACACTTGCATTTGATTGTTCTTCAAAAGGACAAGCATAAGCCCTTAACCCTGTGCGGGTTGCTCTGCACTTGACAGGTGAGGACGGAAGACTGGGGTGTCTGTGGATGTTCATGCATGAGTCGACGGGTTCACGGTTGGCGTGCTTCCTATCACACTTTTCTCTGCCAGCCCCATCCCAACGTAAGGTCCAAAGTGCTTGTTAGGGATGGGGGTAGTACTGGAAATTTCCAACTGCAGCACTTTTCTCAGATTTAGGCGCATGGCCGGAGACTCCAATCCAAATTTTCATACTGTATTGCGGGATGGGCGAATCCGGGGCTTCTCTTAAACATGCAGCGGCCTGTGGGTAGAATGAGATTGATTCCAGGATCCTCGATGTTTGTCCTAGATGCTGTTAAGAACCCTCAAAACGAGGTCATGGCCCGTGTTTGCTTTTGACCCCACAGCCATTCCGGGGTGTTGCTACCCTTCTTTGCATGAGAGAGCCCTTGGAACATACAATGTACCTGAGACCGAAAAGACCTTCAGTTCCCGAACCCGGCCCTAAACCCCATATAAAACTAAACACGAAGCACTAAACCCTGAACCCTAAACCTAAACACTAAACCCTAAACCCTAAAATCCCATACGAAACACTAAAACTGCAAGTTTAGGGGTAGTCTGAGGTAGGGATGGTTAGGGTTTAGAGCGATTCCTAGACGTTACGTGGACCCCCACCCAAAGGGATAATCACGATTTTATTAGGGTCCTGTTATAGCCAGAGAGAATATGGGGTATATGGGGATCTTATTGCAATATACCCAAAGCCATATTCTATCTACTTAAGGGGGACTATATATTCCTATTGTACCACTATTACAGGGTGGGGTTCCTCCAAACCCAGACCCCAGGAGAAGATCTTGGACTTCACAGAACAAGACCTGGTCAACCTCAGAAGGCTGGGGCTTCACTGAGACTTGAGGTGGCAGGGGTGAGTGTTCATTGCTCGCTAAACTCAGAGCCCCCAGTGTTGATTCTGGCTCCATGTTAGGATCCGTTGTACTTTTTGGGGTGCGGGACTCCTTCTATCTATATGAAAAGGATCCTTTTTTCTTACCAGGGTAATGTATTGATACTCAACAGGAGCCCTCACTTGATGCCTAAGTGCATATACCCCCAGTTGCTTACCGAGTGGCTGAATCCTAAAGGCAGATGCCAAGGCGAGCAATCTGCCATGCAACTCAGTACTTACAGCCTCGTGGGCCCTTGTGTGGAATCTCGAAGTGTCACATGGAAGGCTATCAGGATTGTGGCCGTTTTGATGTGAACAAACCCACCGCAGATGAGCTGTAGTCTAAACTTCTAGCTCCCCTATATAATTCCCTATATAACCCCCTTCAAGGAGTTTTGTTTAGATTACACCTCATACGGCTACCTGCTACGCATTCACCCTCGGAGCGGTTGAGTAGTTGGCTCATATCAGGCTTTATTAGGTCCAACATCGTGCAGTAAAAAGATATCCCCTACAAGTCCTAAAGAAACCTATATACTCCCTGTAAAGCCCACTGAGAGGGACCCCTGTGTTTTGGTAGAATCTGCGCAAATTAGCGTGCAAGGATTCAGGACGTCTGAAGGTCTTGATCAGCTTACGAGGGGCTGTGGAGACCTCTTTCTTGACATACTGAGCTTTGAAATCAAAGGCTTGTGGTTTCAGGGTTGTAGTCCAACAACGTGAGGTTGCTCAAGGTTTGTCACGAGGCACTTTGAACATGCTTCACCTTAGCACCCGGGATGTGGGAGAGAATCTGAGTCAGCGACCGTTCCAAGCCGAGGTTGTTGTGGGACCTGGGATTCCCACTGTCTGAGAGGTGACCTACAAGCAGCCCTCAGCAAACCCTCAGAGTTGAAGCCTCCGCCGAAGGTCCATCTACCTGGTGATCATGTCCTCCGTGCACTATGAGGAGCACATCAGATTGAACTGTGTGGAAGTCAACCAATATGCACGGATGGCTGGACACTTGAGATCCTTAACGCCTATCCCGAGGGATTCTAGATTCGTGCAGGTGCAGGTCACAGGCATGCGCAATCAGACTGCTCGCAAGACTTATGGGGCCGGACGCGCATGCTTTACATGTAGCCACAGCACCTACACCTTGAAACACTAGCCGCAGGCAACACTACGAAGTCTGAAGCTTAATTTCCAAACCTTTCATGGCAGCTTCTTAGCAAAACCTACATATTATTCCTCCCAGCAGGATTCCATAATCGTGCCAGCATCCCTCCTTTTTGAGAAACTGGTTTCAGACCTACGCCCTCACCGCGGGAAGGAGTGCGTGCACAAGATCCTCAAGCTGAACATCGCGGAGGGCCAGGAGAAGGAGGCTGATGGGTTCAGGTTTGAGGATGTCAGGCTTAGGACGTGGGGCTAGGGTTCAGGGCAGTTTAGGTGCGGGAGCCTGGGGCTGGTTTTGTGATTAATTGCGGTGCAGTCCGGGGGATGCGCGCAGTGTTGTTAGATCTGTACTGCGTGCAGGGCTCATCCGCATTTGAAGAAGCCACAAAACCACGAACCACAATGTGTCACGCGAGTTTTTCACAATGACCGGCTTTTGTACGAGTGATTCGTGCAGCACATGGCGAACCTGGCGTTTCTGCGCTCACGCTTAGGCCTTAGCCTCCATCTGACCCTACCCCGAATGCCACATCCCACTGCTTTCAACAGCTGAGTAGAAGCCTGAAGGATTGGTCATGATCTTTCCTCATATGAGCTAGAGTCTGAGCTCCGTAAAGGGGGCTATACAGGGGATTATCTAGGGAAGCACTATAGGGATTATTAAGGGTGATAGGAGTTGAGATTATAGCTCATATACACATTGCATAACTGTAGAACTATATTGTCCAAAGCCTTGTTCAAATCATTTCGGTTGCAGCTAGCTCTCGTCCAGGTCTGCACCATGCTCATTGACTGCTGCGCTATGGAGAAGATGTTCAACAGGCTCTTGGGGCTTGGAACTGGGGCCTGCTATGCACATTACTCTGGTCAGTGTCAAGCTGGGTTCTTCCTTGCATGATGAAACCTCCCCCAAACTAGGGTTTAGGGTTTAGGGTTGATGAAATAGACTTGCATCTTGGCGGTTATGTAGTCAGACCCTCTTCCTACATGCATCCATGCCGCCCTCTCCAACATCTGCTGCTCAACGTAGACAGCTGAAGGTTAGGGAATCTAGAAACTGAAGCCGGAAATCCTACGGTGAGGTTTCAATAAGGTCATGAAGGAAAAGGCGTGCAACTCGCTAATTGTGCGGGTCTTGGGGGGCAAGGCAGGCAATTGCCATTGACCTCTTCCTTTTGTGCAACCTGGCCCTAAAGTGTAAGAACCCCAATAAAGACCTCTGGAGCTCAGAACCGTGCCTCAAGGGCTTGGTAGGCGTAGCTTACATGTTGAGGCTTCGGTTTGTTGAAATGCAGTGAAGGGTGCAAAGTTGTTGGCCTCGTCAACTCAGCTGGTATTAGTTCTCTTGGCTGTCCTCTGAGACGACCCCTCCTAGATCCTAAACTCAAAAATCCCTGAACTGCAAACCCTGTTACTGACCCTGAAGCTTAGGCCCCCCTATGAACTCCTAGCTCTCAAAATGCACGAAACTCTGTTCTCCAACAGCCGGACCACTGATCAGGTTCTTCGTCCTCCAGGCTCAGCCCCGGACCAGTTCCTGCTTTTATTTGCAATATCCTGTTGAGGTTTATGTGATGTACCCTATACCACCATTCTACAATGAATCTAGGAGTGCGTTACTGGCTGGGCGTTCGTGCTCAACACACACAGGGATGCTAAAGCTCTGAACGCAGATCTTGTAGGAGTTTTTATGACCAGAGTGGCGTGTTAGGATTGCTGATGCGGCATTGAACTTAGCTCACGTCGGGCTCTTTTGGCCGCAGACCCCGTTTTGGTATACTGCTTTCAGGCTGCCACGTAGTCATTTGGGTCTAGTCTGGTTTCTTGGTACGGAATTACAGTATACCACCCAAAGAAGAACTACACATGAGCCCTACTCAGGGTATACGCAAAAAAAGGGGGATGAATCATGTTAAGCTCAGAGCGTGAGTTGCCCCTGCCCTACAAAAACACCCCCTGAGGTACGTAATGTGGGTACCCCCATATAATTTATGATTAGGGATTAGTGTTTAGGGCTTATGGTGCTATTATGGCCATAATAATCGCACCCTAAGCCTTAACTTTGATCCATAAACCCTGATGTAATTTGGGAAACGACTGCGGCTGCGTTTCAGGCAGAGCGCTTGTGCCGACTGAACCCCGTGTATCAGGACTACTGCATCTCAGCATGCGAGTGTTTCCATAAATGAGGGGCCCCAATACAAGAAAACTAGATTATGATGGGAGGGCTTCCTTGCATACTCTCGGAGGATGGGTTTAACACTTTGGGGTTGACTCACTGAGATATCAACATGTTCTTGCTGGCAAAAGAGTTCTGAGTGCAATTAGTCAATTGTTGCTGGCATCCTGCGGAACATCTCCAACCGTACGTGTTCAGGGAGAACTTCGAGCTTTGTCCATCTGAACCAGCTCGACGAAACGCTTTCTGATTTGCATCAGGTGGCGTTTCAGGGCCCCTGTGCCAGGCCTTCACAAAGCCCATTGTATCTGCCTTATGAGGATCTATGACGCGTGGGATGTATGGAGCTACCGGGTTCAGGGTTTGGGGAATGTGCTTGACTCAGCTTGAGCAGGACAATTTCACGGAGTCGTTCGGCGTGCAGTTTAACACTGTGCACAGGCCGGCCTGTTCGCACCACGCATGCATGCCACATGTTGAGCTGCCTTATCGGGGCTGCCGTCCAGGATTTTTGCTCTGCGTGGGTATCGGGGAAGCCAGCAAGTCAGCAACCCCTTTCAGCTTCCAAAGCAGTGAAGCCGCAAAGAAACTGTGCAGCACTGGAGTGGGGAACCTGTTTTAGTACGTGTGCTCAAAGAGAAACTCATGAAGCACCCGCGTGCAAGCCAATGAGGCTAGCTCGCATGAGGCCTTGATGTAGTTTTGAGAGGGACTTCTAGGCGCTGTCTAGTGATCCATTGGCTACGAGACAGAGGTTGCGGTTTGGGGTTCAGGGTTCCGAACTGCATCTTCCTCTCTGATCGGTCCCAGCATTGGTACGTGATTGCATACAATACAGACCTGCGAAGCTTGGATCGAGGCATTGAAGCTACGCTTCCTTTCTGAATCTCAGTAAGCAACAAGGCGCCATTGGTATCGTGTGCAACGGCATGGATTCCTACTCAGAGACATTCTGGCGCGGAAAGAAATTAGACCGTCTGCTTAAGAAACAAAAATATTAGCAATAGTAGTACTTGTCAATAGCACTAAAAATGGCAACAGTAAAGATACAGAATGACAGTAGTGGCATGCTTCCTTCAAGCCGGAGCTTAACGGTGGCAAATCGAACAGGATAGCAGGCTCTTCACGAAGCATTTCTCTCAGTGATATTATAGTCCCCCTTAAGTAGGTAAAATATGGGGTACTATATGGGGATCTTATTATAATAGACCCAAAGCTATATTCTGTCTACCTAAGGGGGACTATAAGCAGTCCAGGGCATCCATCAACAATACACTGGGCTCCCGAGTGCACCCGCATGCATCAAAAAGAAGAATCACTCCAGTCTCGCCCCCCGAGCTCCACATACCCAAATAATTTGCATACACTGAGCCCTCAAATTCTGCATAGGAACCCATTCGGGCACAAATCATCCCAAAAGCATGTCTTCCGCTCAAATTGAGCACTCTTGCTTCTTCCTGCCTGAAGTGCCGAGTAATTGAGTATGGATCCGCCTTGTTTGTCAAGCAAGTGACAGTGACAACGGAGCTTATGCACAATTCCGTATATATCTTCAATGATGCCGGTGGGATCCCCATTGCGCTGTGAATCTTGAACCACAATAAGCCAGGCTAGAAACCAACAAGCTGCGAAACATCGGAAAGTTCTTCGCGCACCTGCTGTACACGGACCGACAAAGTGTTTTTGAAGACAATCGTGTTCGGGTTCAAGGCTTACAGAGGTTGACATTATTACACCACTATACTGTTAGGCGTACATACTTTCGTAAGGTTCTTATGTTAAACGAGTCTACGCGTCTGAGTACCATCTTTAATTCAGGCTGTGAGGCCACTTGTTGCTTCAGCTTACGGAAAGCAATGTTCTCTGTTGGCTGGGCCGCGCATATTTGAGACCGAATTCCTAAAACGAAGATCCAAATGCTGAAAACTCCCTAAACCTCGAACATGCCTCCCTGGCCATATGAACCGTAATCTAAACTCCTTAAAAGGGGATGATATAGCGGGTTCTATGGGGGACTACTATAGGGGTTATGAAGTGGGATAGGAGTTTAGACTATAGCTCATACCCTAAAGTATGAACCAGCATCTGTATTTTCCCAAACTGGGCGATGCTTGAATCTCAGCCGCTGCCTGTAGTATGTGGCAGGACACCCCTGTTGTTGCCCGATAGTCCAGAACCCTGCCAACTTTCTCCAAAACCCTTTCATAACCCTGAAGAGGAAACTCCAAGGGTTTCGAGTTTAGGGTCATTACTCCCGTGTATTCGTTGCATATGAGAGATCATCTGTGCCTGGTTTGAGCTTCATAGCGAATCAGCTGAGAGGATGCGATTCCATGGAGTATCTGGGCCCAGGCCGGTGGCTAGTGGTTTAGGGTTTAGCAGATGTTCCGTATCAACTTCAGGATTCTCTTTATCCTTTGTAGAACTAGCTGGTTTCTCTTAATACTTCTAGAAGAGAACCGGTAAGAAGGATCCTTGTTTCTTCCTGTCCGCGCAGAGACAGCTTCCTACTCTTGGCAACTTCAGTTGCAGCAACATGGTGCACCGTTTAAGTAGGCTTTATGTTCCCTGCCTAGGGATGCACGTATACAAGACTGCTGCAAGGTTTCAAGTTTCAAGGACTTTTGCTGGGTATTTTGGAGGCAGGGAGAAGAAGACACCTGGTGAAGTTATGGTGGTTGCGCGGTGTAGTTTAATGTTGAAAGGAGTGAGGGTTTATAAGTGTGCGTGCGCTTGGTGGTTGAGATCTTGCACCTGCCGTCTGCCGTAAAAACTCTGTTCTGCACGGTCATGCGGCGCTACTATCGGAGATGGTCTCTGTCAACTGTCCCAATCTCGAAGCTCCGAACCTCAAACAGTACACCATATTGATTACAGCCTCAAACCGCGCACTATCAGAGAATCCCGAGTCTCACACCTGAGAGTTCTGCCAGGGTTGGGGCACGCTCTGCACGTGGCCCCCGTAATACCTCCGTACAAGGTAGACCTAGCTGTTAGAACTGTCTCGGACCATCAGCAGACCGTAAAGCAGTAAGACTGCAGTGTCAACTGGCGCGCAGGTGAAAATCACGGAAGACACAACAACATCAAGCTCCCGTATCTTCATCAAGGCCCTTGGAGGGCGCCTTTCTGTAGCTCAATCAATCTCCTGTAGTTTGGGATGCCTTGAGTCTGCTCGCTTGTAATCAGCTCCCCCTAGCACCGATCCACCTGTTCCCCCAGATACTAAATGCCGCTCCCAGCATATGATGGACTGTTGGGGAGTATGTTTCATTAGGGGGCGGGGGGTCATTATCAGGGGAAGGTGATTAATCTAGCGGGGCATTCCCCGAAAACGACAGATGTACAACAAGGATCCTTTCTGCCTCAGAGTGGGTTCACAGCCTGCTGTCCGCCTTGTGACAGACAATTAAACGTCAACTTTTCATCCTAAGCCCTAAACCAAAATCGCTAAACCCTTAAACCCTGTACCCTAAGCCCTTAAACCTTGAAGCCCTTTTTCAAACATAAGCCCCTGAACCCTGGTCCCTGTATGAACCCTAAGCCTTCAAGTCCTAAAAGCCAGAAGTTACACTGTTTGCAAGACCCCTAGCTGCCCAGCATGCCTGGATATTTTGTGGCCAGCAGTAACACCAGATCTCAGTCCCCAGGGGAGTGGGTATGACCGCCGAAGTACTCGTGGTCACCCACCCACTAGTAGTGACCAAAAGGGATAGAGCCAAACATGTTGGGCCCCTCCATATGCGCTAAACCCTAAACCCTAAGCCGCTCCTTGTTCACCTTACTCCCTAAACTCAAACCGTACAAAGTGGCCAGCATCTTGCGCCCCGACAGTTGTTCAAGGTCTTGTTTGAATCGTTTGAATCTGCTAATGGAAAGGCTTGTTTCATCGTGTAAAAGTCAAGAAGCCATCCATAAGATACCCAAATCATCCACAGAGCTGCAAAACAACATGTTATTTTTTTCCTACTGAGCCACCTCTGCACAGGATCAACTGGATTGCGGTTGAGGACCATAAACAGTTACCCTTGTCATTATAAGTAGAAGCCCGCGTTATTCATTACATTATGTTGCAGTGTGCTAACTTAATTTGGTAGTTTCTCAAAATAGGGGGACCCCAATAATATACCCCCAAATACTATAACCCTTAACATAGGGATCCCCAAAAAGGTACACCTAATTTTTGGGAAACCTTAAACTCGCATGCCTAAACCCTATATGCCCATGTATAACACCTGTTAACCTTTTAAAGGGTACCCCTAATTTTGGGGAAACCCCCATTTACCTTCCTCAACCCTTAAACACTAAAGCCAATAAAGCACCAGCTAGCCCTAGGCCCCCTGGCTCTCCCCATGTTTGGAGCTTCAACCCAAGAACCGAAACTCGAAACCTTATTACAAGTAATAGTAATTCATGGGTCTCGAGTTTTGGGGTTTAGGGTTTTGGGGTTTAGGGGTTTCGGGTTTACAGGGCAAGAGTACCAGTAGCAGTAACAGTGCTTCAGTCGCTCATAACTTGCATTGTAAGCTTTTCAGGCGTTCCTTCCACATTGTACCGCACCCAATTCATACCCCAAATGCACATGCTGCTTCCCTACAGTTCTGGAGCTTTCAGACTCCAGGCATAGGACCCCCAAAACCATCAGGTGATATTCCAGGAGCTTTCCGAGCAGCCGCAGCCTCAGTGAAAGAATGCTTGGGGGACTGGCCTTAGGGCAGTTCACCTGGTCCAGGCTCTCAGGGGTAGGTGCTGTCACCGCGATATACGACTTTGGGTCATTTTGATCCCTTTTGGAGTTTCCGAGATATCAAGCATGGAGGGGATCCTAAGGGGCTGAGAGCCCTCAGAAAGTGTCTTGACAAAAGATGTAGAAGCGCAAATGACAAGTGCCCCAATATTCCTTAGTACAACTATACGGGATAGCGGAAAATGCCCCTAGACTACGAGCGATCCTGTCGCATTTGTCGGGAACCACCAGATACCAACAGCTTGATGGTAGCTGCGGCAACGTTTCACTCCGGCTAGACTACGAGTTCCCCAGCAGAGAACTTTCTACGCGGCTGTCTTGTGAACAGCGTCCTGAGCGCTTAGTCATTTTGGGTTCACATGCTAGGACCCAGTTGTGGTTTCCAGTTGTAGAAAGACGTGACCAACGTGAAGAGTCTGGTGCTTGAGGCCGAGGACTTTGTTGCCCAGTCTTCCTTTCCACACGTCTTTCCACTCGTCACCCGTGCGCCAGAACTTGCAACGCTGACGATGACCACCGCCCGCCCTTGCCACCAACGCTGCCAGCACCATACTCACGAGAATGGTTTCTTGCTCTAGCGGCTGTCTTGCAAGGTGGGGCGTGAAGAAGCTGGTGGACCGCCTCAATGAGGATGAGCTGAAGCCCTTCTTCACCGGCCTCTTCCCAAAGGCGCCCGGCTGCATATGATTCATTTGCCTACTCAAGAGAGGCAACGGTAGGGATTTCTGCCGTGAATCCAACATTGCAATCTCATACACAGTAGCTTGAGCATGCAAGATCCAATCCCGATCCGATTCACGTTGTTGTCTCCAGGTTGCTACAACAGATGAATTGAGAAAATGTCTAAACGGAACTTTCTACACTGCAAAAGCCGACAACTGGTACTGCATGTTGTTCAGGCCTCCTCTGTATGATTTCTTCGCAAACGAAAGCCCAGCTTACTTTACTGTATGGCCGTGGCATACTGGTACATCACGCCAGCAGCATGCGGATTCTCCAAAACAGTTGGACAGTGATCATTCAGCATTTGGAAGGGCACTGCACAACAGCCAGCATTCTCTTGTTGTCACAACTTTTCTTTTCATCACCTGCCCACACTTGCCCAGGGTAGTCGTCGGGTTCCCGAAGATGATCTCCCTGCACAAGTTGCCATTAGGTACCATATAGCCGGGTTGACGTTGATGAAGGCTAAGCTCAATGCAAATTCTGAGCACACCTTAACTTGTAAGCTTCCTAGGGCTCTGGATGTTGAGTCCAGTTAACTTGTTTATGGGTAGGAGTGAATGGAGGACTGATTGCCCCGTATAGTACAGCAGTGTCTACATAATCTGTCATGGTAGTCCCTACACTGCACTACACCCCCTATTGCGTTATGCCTTCAGAACCACCAGTGAGAATAGGGTTACGTCAACCAGCAGGACCACCCGAAGAACGTCCGCTTTGCCATCAACTACTTCACTGCCATCGGTCTGGGAGTTCTCACGGAGGAGCATGTAAACAGTTTGTTTTCTGTAGGGACCCTCTGTAGTGACTCTGTAGCTGGTGAAGACAGCTTTGAGCGAATTCTCACGGTGATGGGGAGTTATTGCTACAGGTTACGACGTGTGTAAATGGTTCGGGCTGAGGGTGTAGTGTACATTCGTTTTAGCTCTGGAGCTTTACTTGTTGAAGCTGGTTCAGGCTTTCAAGGCTTAGGGGTCTTTGCCTAGATCTAATAGTTTCACAAGTCGGGTCCTCAAATCTGCCAAACGCACAATGCGCGTAAAGATTTACATGTGGAACTGAATTGTGAGCGCATCATCGTGCACGCAGGACACCTTCAACTCTCAAATTTGCACAGCTCCTTCCAAAAAGCGCAAGGAAAATACGTGGGGCTTCCACGTAGTACACCACCGCGCCCGAACTCCACAACTGATCTGTTTGGTAGCCAGTATCATGGAAGCTATGGGCCTCCCTCGCAGGCTTTAGATCCAATCCCTAAGGGTCCAAGGACCCAAATATTAGGGTTCTAGGTCCCAGATACCATGCACATGTTAGAATTTGAGACCTAAAGCCCCATTATTTGAGTCCATGGACCCTTAAGGATCCCCCTTAACCCTCAAAATAAGGATTTAGGGTACCTAAAGCCCAATATTTGAGTCCTTGGATCTTTAGGGAAGTGCTTTGAGAATCATGTACTTCCCCAAAACCTGTACTGTAATTCGTATTACCCAAATCCCAAGTACCAAAATATTGGGTACTGGGACCATGAGGGTTACGTCTGCTGGGCTGCAGAAAAAGAACTTGATTTAAGTTACCTTAATGGGTATACATAGTAATCAATAGGGTTTCCCCGACGTAGTAAGTTAAATTCAGTTCCTTAAATCCCTATATTCCCCCAGTTTCCATTTGATTTCCCATCTTCTTGTCTTTTTGACTCTCCATTCTAGCCCTAAACCCTATATACCCTATATACTCATTATAGTAACTTCCTTAACAGCAACCCAGTTTGCGAAGGACCTACGTGGCTTCCTTGAAGAAGCCAATGCTCGGGCAGCCCACGAAGCGCAGCGCGTGGGGATCTCAGGAGCAGAAGCAGAGAAGGTTGATAGAGGGAACAGGGATCCTCCTACTACTACTACTACTTCTACTACTACTACTACTACTACGACTACTACTACTACTACTACTACTACTACTACTGCTACTGCTACTACTACCACTACCACCACTACTACTACTACTACTACTACTACGACTACTACTACTGTTACTACGGTTACAACTGTTACTATTGAGGTGGCAGAATGCGAATGATGACAGTTTGGGGGAGTTCTACGGGCTTTGGAGGAGGGTGTAAAGGGCAACGCGTCAATCTGCCCAGGCCGCAGAGGAGAGGGCCATGGATGCAACTTGGCAGCAAAATGACACGGGAGTTCCCTTGGGGACCTCTGGGACATGGGTAACACTTGCAGATCACAGGAACTAATGAGGGTAACATAACTGGGCAAGTCGTATTTGAGAAGTGCCTAATTGGGTTCAGGATTCAGTCACGGCCACCGGACGTCAACCCCCTAACTGGCCTGTTTCAGGTAGGGTCACAGGCTGTAGAATCGCTTTAGTAGAACCCCTTGCGTGCTCATTTGCAGAAGCCCATAGACTCTGTTGCTATGGGACGCTTGTAGGACGTGCTGGTGTTAGCTCCCCGCGCAGTGGAGAATCTAGGTGAACCAAAACCTAGATCCTGAAATCCTGAACCCAGGATCTCTGAGGAGGGCAAGCAGCCAGTACCTGTCCTGTTGAAAAACCAAGGAGGAGTCCTCCTCATCCTCCTCCAGTAGCTCGGACTCGTCCTCGGACTCGGACTCGGATTCAGACTCAGATGCTTGGTGCGACTTTGGGGGAAGGAAGGTGATTCAGGGGATGTTGGGCGTAGGGTTTGGGATGCAGGCCTGGTCAATTATAGGCCTTTGGGAACCGGGTTAAAGGGGCTAGGTCTGAACGTCAAGTTTTGTTCAGTTAGGTTCTGGCCTTGGAAGAGTTCCTTGCATAGGGCACGACTTCTTCTTGCAAGAACATTTTGCCCGACAACATTAGGACAAAAGGAGGTGAAGAATGCATTGAACCAGAAACCCTAGTGTTTGATCAGGGGTTTAGGGTGATCTTTGTTGCCCAACCTCCAAATCAGGATCCTACGACTATAGCACTTGATTTTTATAAGGTCCTTCTGATAGGAGTTGGGGTACCAAAGCCGGGTTCTTACTACCATGGATCTAACGGGACTGTAACTCTTGGGGTCTGTGAGGAAGCTCCAGTTCCTTTGCTCGTTCTGAAAGAGGCCGCCTAGTTTTGTAAACTTCTCTTTTTTGGTGGGCAGGGGGAGAAATTGAGGAGAACAAGGGACATCAACGCCTTCAGAATCCAAAGCCCTTGCGGAACTGCAAGCATAGCACCGAGGAGCACAGAACCATATCTCCCCGCAGTAATTCAACTCCTGTCCTCTGGCAACTAATGTGTACCTTGAAGTTGTGATCCACAGGGAACCCTGATTTGGACGGTATTGGTATCAGTGGCGTCAGATACGTTGCGATCTTCCCACTACCGCGCAGGCTACGACAAGAGCCGCTGGAAAAGTCAAGGAGAATAGGCGTGTAGGAATTTCTGCTTTAATTGAATGACGATATGTGACTACATACCTGCTTGAGTCATGTTGTCAAATTGTCCTCGTCATGCTGGGGTGCGCTCCAATAAGCAGACAGGGAAGGGGGACATCCCAAACCCTCGACCGTGAGCCCCAGGTAAACTTAGAACCCATGCCCAACCTAGGACTCAGACGACTCAGACTCAGACAGCTCCGACTCCTCTGACTCGTAAATGCCCAGAGCCCGTGGGGACAAAAAATGCTGTAGCACAGGCCACCGCGAATGAAAGGGAGAGAACCAAAAGCTAGGGGATGAGCGCGTAGTGTAAAGGTGCAGGGTTTGGGTTTAGGGTTTAGGGTTGATGGCTTCGAGTTTAGGGTTCAGGGTCAGCATCATCTGGAAAATTATCATCTTTTTAATACCCCTAGTAAGAGTGTATTACAACATACCCAAACACTAGTGTGCCCTAGTTCGCTCTTCTGCCTCCATTCTTTAGACCTGAATCATTGTTCTTAGTGCTGTAAGGATGTCGGGGCTCAGGATTTGGGACGAAAAGTTCAGACTCAGGCTGTGTGTTTCAGAAGTAGGGTTCCTAAACCCAAAGCCTTCAACCCCTAAACTCTAGACCCCTAAACCCTAAACACTTAGGGTTATGACGCTGTGAGTGAGAAGTGTGTGCCGCAGGCAGGGTTTTGGCTCAGGCTGAACAGCGGCCTCGCACCCAAACCTGAAGCAAAGGATGCAAGTGGACAAAATAGGGATAATGGAAAAGAAAATGGAAACTACAGGGATTATAGGGGGTTCTATAGGGCTAATGGAAAAGAAAATGGAAACTATCATGTTAAAATAGGGTATATATAGGGCTTTTTAAGGATAATGGAAAAGAAGATGGAAACTACTACAATGGAATTATACAGGGTTCAGAGTTTAGGGTTTAGGGTTGGGATTATATAGGGATAACGGAAAGAAAATGGAAACTACTATGTAATGATAGGGTATATATATATATGGCCTTATATATGGATAATGGAACTACCCAAATGGTAGGAAGGCATCAGAGTCTGTTGATGTGGGATCGTCAGAGCCCTGTTTACATCACTTGGCAAGATGACGATTTTGTGGTTAAGGACCGTTGAGGTCCTTGCGGAATGCCATGATTTTAGTGGTAGACATGCCATGAATGTACTGGTATAGAGCGGACCTGCCAGATAGCCTCAGCCAAAAAAATGTCCTACAGAAGGGCACCTCTGTATCCCAAGTTCTGAATCCCAACTGCCGTAGACTGCGTGGGCTTCACATCTTGCTGGTGCCTCAGCATGACAGGAATTAATGTTGAGGCTCTTGGGGTCCGCTTCTACATGGAGGGGTACCCTTGTGAATTTGACTTCTTTGTTGCGGACATGGGCGTCATGGGAAGCTTCAATACAATTTCTGCGACAAAACCCTTGTAAGAGGGCGAAACTGCCAGAAGTCCGTTTAGGGTTTATAAACCCTAACCCTAAACCCTAAACCCTTTAGGGAAGTGTTGACTTCATTGTCGGGAATACCGTGAATCAGGGAGCTGCTTGACGCAGGGCAGGGGACTGCGCCAAGGGGTTGCATCTTGTTTTACATGTCGTTTGGGGATCGAGGGATAACCTATGTTGCAATGCTGTGACAGTGGTCTTATGCCAGAAAACCTGTGAGCCCAGGTACCTAGTTGAATCTGAATCACGGACGTCCGTGCGTTCTGCAACATGTCTCTGTTGTCCTAGACTTGGGACTTCTTCTAAGTTGTAAACCTGCGTACCGACGACCACATATTTTTTGGTTGGCGCTGATCGAATTCAGGTAGGATCTATCTATCCTCCATGTCACCCTAAATCCGAATAAGGTACCCCAGAAGTACACTTCTTCCCTTTTAATTTTGGGGTCTACTTATTAAAGCTGAACATTAGGGAAAAGGATACTCTTATCAAAACGCGGTTACTCGGGAACCTAGAAACTCTAAATCCTAAACTCTAAACCCTAAATCCTAAACCCTGATTCCTAAATCCTAAGCCCTAAACCCTTAACCCTTTCTAATGTCCAAAATCTGTTTCAAATGGTTCTTTGAGCCCCCAAGGTGCTCGCATGTTGCCATGGCAGGCACAGGCTCGCTTGCATTTGACCTTCAGTCGAAACTCCTTAAGGAGGGTTTTATAGGGTTTAGGGTTCAGTGTTTAGGAATTGGGGTTTAGGATTTAGGGCTGAGGGGTTAGGGGTTAGGGTCTAGATTCCTTAAGAGGGTTGTAAAGGGGATTATGTAGGGGACTACTATGGGGGTTATTATGGGGATTCTTGGAGTTTAGACTATAGCTCATTTGAGCTTTAAGTGTTCTTGCTTAGCTGGGAAGTTGGGAGACTTAGGGTTTAGGCTTTAGAGTGTAGGGTTGGGAGGGGGTTATAAGGAAGATTCTAGGGGCTTTGATTGAACTTACAGTGATTGCCCCAACTGAGCGCAGGATGACTATCCAGGGAGTACTATAGGGTTTTTAAGGGGGATACTAGGAGTTTAGGCTAGGGCTCATATGTGGGGCGGCATCATAAGGCAAATACGGGGGTCCTCCGCAGAGTTCACGCACTGATGATTTTTCAGAAATGCATTAGGAGAAGCGACTTCGAGCGACGCCACGACGTTCAGCTGACCTTCGAGCAGGGGCCCTAGTCTAATTGACACGGTTTAGGAGTCTAGGGTTTAGAGTCTGCCAGACACTGGTGTGTTTTCTTGTTTGGCTAGATAATCGTGAAGGTGTTGCTGTTTCTACACACTGTCTGTGTTGTATGTGGTCCTTCAACTGTTTTTAGGAAGTGAGTTGAGGTTAACCCTAAACCTTTAAGGTACAGATTCAGATGGTACCCAGTTCTGCTTGCGGCATGTAAATTGGACTTTGTTACCTGTCGGAGTGAATGCAGCTGCCCTGGGTTTAGGGGCTTAGGGCTTAGGGATTAAGATTTAGACTTGGGCTAAAACTCAGGATTGCGCATTTGTTTGAAGCCCCGAACATTCAGCTGAGTACCATCAAGGTTGCGCCAAAAATTCTTGTGGGAGGTTACCGTAGGAACTTGTAAGCCGGACTGAAGCTTTGGGCTTGCTATCATTTTTAATTATTGTTCCCCTTAGATTATCACAGCTATTGCTGGTACAGCTGTATTAATCTTATTACTTTCACTGTTACTTAGACTACTATTGCAACTGCGGGGGAGAACTGGTCACTTTCCACATGTGGCTATGCTTCTTGGATCCTCGCACGCACGGCTGGCACAAGCACCACCTTCAGTGAGAACCAAACAATCCTGATAGAAGTTCACGAGCAACAGCAATGCCGAAGAAAGGTCCGTGAGATTGGTACCTAAACCCCCAAAGTAGGTAAAATAATGGCCAAGAACCCCTAAATATAGCCCAAAAGGCCATTATTCTACATACTTTGGGAGGTAACCATCACAGTTTCAATTGAAAGAAGACTGAACACGCTAAACCTCGAAGCCCCCAATCCTACTTCATAACAATTGCCACGCCTGAGGGTGCAGTGCCTCTGCGACATCCCTAAACCCTAAACCTTACATGAACCGAGGATTTCATGTAGCGTATCCCTTTCCTGATTTTGGTCCTCAAGTCCAGGCGCTCCAGAACCTCGAGCCTCAAACGCTACGAACTCTTAAAGCACTCTTCCCAAATATCCTGAACCTCTGAGATTTCAAACTTAGAGCCGCGAACCGCAAGCTCAGAATTTCCCCCGCTAAGTCCTAGATGAACCTTCAACTTAATTTACGCCCAAGCCCTTGACTTTCTGGTGCCTAAGGGGGAAGTGGGAGAGGGAATGTCCGTAAGTTCACTTCGTAAACTTGGGTCTAGGGTTTAGGGCTTCGACTTGAGAAGCTTCCTAGGAAGGCATCGGCCTGCCTCCTGGAATCGAGAAGGCTGAGCCCTGATCAATCCAAATATTCGTGTAATCAATATCAATGCTAATGATCTTCTTGCTATCATTACTATTGTTGTTATGGTTATTAGTTCCGTTATTGTGATTACTGATGGTTTTACTACTGTTATTAATCTTACCGTTGTTCCTATTTCAAGATTAAGGGTTTATACTTAGTCGAGGAACTCCCAAAAGTGGGGCTCCCAAAGAATTGGAAGCCTCCATACAGGGTTTTCAGAGTTGAGGGGTTTGGGGTTCTGAAGCATGAAGGGTTCAGGTGTTTTGCAGGCGAGGTCTTGGGTCTAAGGGCTGCCGTTTTGGGGGCCGGAGAGTGGTACAGGGGTCAGGGTTTGTTGCCTACACCCTGGGAAACTTGCAAAGTAGCTGCTTAGCATGGATAGAGCTAGAGCTTCCCAGCCAACCAAGTGTAGGGGGCCTCCTGACTGAACATCCTAAACCATAAACCCTCCCCGATGCCTCTAGCAGTTGCACCCTAAAAGCATGTCCTTGTCAGGAGTTGCGAGACACCCTCCACCTGAAGGCAAGTTCTGACAAGCGCGGCTGCGTCACTACCCTCACCCAAACAAAAGTGGAATCATAATTTCAAGTGTCTTCGCGGGATTGAAGTGCAGGTGGAAATGGAAATAGCAACCTTGTCGGGATTATATATTATATACCTTCCACTGAGCAGGCGTGAAACTCCATGTAGACAATGTAGACCACTTTAAGAGGGCTGCAGTCTTCCCAGGGTCCCTGTTGATGTTTTATCTTGGTTTGAGGCAGTCGATCGGCAGTGCGCCGCAACACCGGCACCCTTGCGCAGCGTTGTTGTTATTCTTACCATGACTGCGGCGCAATATACATCATCATCAAACTCCGCATATGTCTTAAGCTTTCATTCGATCCTTTGTATCCCAGGGCTCCTGGCTATTTGAGCTTTCAAGCCCTCTGACCTTGAACAGTTTTTCTCTCGTGAAGCTCGCTAAGCAACCGTGGCGCTAAGCCATCTGGATGTGCGTGACATCTTGTGTCTTACACGTCCGGAATTTCGGCTATAATAAGGAAACCCTATTATTTACTCTAGGGTAAATTCAGGAACTCTATGATTAACGATAGGCTAAATTAAGGACATCTATTATTTACTATAGGGTAAATAACGGAACCCTATGATTAACGATAGGCTAAATTAAGGAAACCTATTATTTACTGTAGGGTAAACTAAGGAAGACTATGATTAACGATAGGCTGAATTAAGGCAACCTATTATTTACTATAGGCTAAACTAAGGAAACCT